ATACAGATATTTATCATATATTTATGTAGATTTATGTAATGTTCCTCAGTCGAATATTTAACTAATTGAATTGTTTTCTGGGTTTGGCTTTTAAGTCTTTTTATGCTAGCTTTTAAGCTTAGAACCTAAAACAGATACAATTAGCAAATAGCTAAAGACAGAAGAAGAAGAGTTAATGTCGGACTTACTGACGACAGGAATTCCAGCTCCAAATGAATGCTAATGTTCTGTATCTGCTGCGTTTAAATGGGCAACTGTTCGCTCATGTTAAGTTAAAGCTGGTTACTTCCAAGCGTTAACAATTAACATATGTTAACTGAATTAAAACTAAAAATGACATAGCACGAGGTCAGTGCCATCAGGATAACTTGAGTCTACTTTAATGTACTTCTCCACAGTGGGACATCTGAATACTGACAACACACGTGACAACATTATCATATCACTCCGCCAACCTCAAATTTGACTAAAATTATAGCCTAGGTCAGGGATGGTGGTGGGGGCCACATAAGTGATGTACTGGCCACCAGGGGGCCGCAGATTAACTTGGAACACACACAAACACAAATTCCATGTGTTGTATGTAATCATTAACAAATATACTAAGTCTGATATCTTCTTTGACATTTTACAATCTTTCAGGGAACATCCTCTAATAAGCTCACTAAACAAATATCAGTTCACAGAAATGCTATTTCATTTTTACAAGTGGCATGTTTGTATTGAACAGGTTATTTAACAGTGGAATACAACTATTTTAAACTATTGGAAAGCATGGAAAATGTGTGTGCATTGAGATTAACCATTGAGATGACATAAACATGAAGTCATGAATAACAATATAATAATAATAATAATAATTTTACTTAAGTTAAGTCATGACTGTTTCCATTGCACTTTGTTGAATTTTGTTCGTATCCTTACAGAGCTTTTTGCCTCAACCATGGTAAAGATGTTTTGCAATATTTGCAAAACTCAGATTTCTTTGGCACAGATGTGGTATTAGATGGGTATAATTTCATTTGCAGGACTTTATTCCTCTATTATTGAGTCAGAGTGAAGATTTTGAAAGTCAGCTCTGGTTTGAATTAACTGCCAAAGCAAAAACACCAGGTGAGGTCCGTCTTCACCATTAAATTATGTAAGGACTCCGGCAACTGCATTTTGGACCAAATAAAGTTGCTGTTGCTGTCGAAGGTAAGCCAGAAAAAACTGCAAATCATATCATAATCAGAGTATGAAATGCTCAGGGAGACCACCCAATAGTGCACTGTTACATCCTCAAAGCTCCAAAGATTGAGACTGCTAATATGTAGGCATTATTAAAGACATACAGTATAAGCTAACATTTTAACATTATTACTTTTGTTCCAGTACAATAAAACGCTCACAGGAACACGTACTGCAAGGTTTATTGTGAGTACTAAAAGGCAGGTGATGCTGTGCTCCATGGGAGAAAATAAAGCCTCATGGAGCCCACACACATACACATTGGCTTCTATCCTATGAATGAGTAGGCCAGCCAAAGTCATTTGGAAGCTTCCACATGCCAATGAATAAATAAAGCTATAATTAGTAAAGAAAACAGCGCCACCTGTTGGTGTTCCACCTCTGTGAACCCAGACCATTATAGAGTGCTGTGGGAGACACCTGAGCTTGCAAAGGCTGTATGTTAAAGGGTTGGCACGGTGTGTGTGTGTGTGTGTGTGTGTGTGTGTGTGTGTGTGTGTGTGTGTGTGTGTGTGTGTGTGTGTGTGTTTGTGTGTGTGTGTGTGTGAGAGGACGTTTTTTCCTGTGGGCCACCCGTGTAACCATGTGTGTTGTATGGCTTCCATTTGTAAAGAGGCTTACCGAGCATATGTGTTGGTATTGTGAGAGTGTGTGTGCTCCTCTGTGTACATGTGTGTGTACTTGAAGAGGTCCAACTGCATGTCCTGGGGCCCACCTGGCAGCCCTGTGCAGATTCTGGGTCCTGAGCAGCTGGCCTGGGGGCTGGTGAGGGTGTTCGTGGGGGAAGGTCCGACAGGGGTGCGGGGGGTCTTCCATGGCCCCTGTCCCACCAGACCCAGACAGTAGGAGGCAGATGGAAAGGGCCAAAGCTACTGCCAGAGGGGCCACAGGGCCGACGGAGAGGGCCAGCCAACACCAACTGAGCTCACTCACACACAGACATTGAATTTATAATGTTTTTTAGATACTAACTATATACTTCAGATTTTTTCAATTTCTAAATGTTACACTGAAAGATACTTCGAGAATAGAGAACAGCACAAGAGAAGAACTAGTCCCGGTACTGGAATATGTCGTTGTGTTGTTCCACTAACCGTTAATATTAGTTTTTTTATTTCAAGTTGGATTGCAAGTAGCAGGTAATTGCTGGGATCTGGAAACACAGCATCATTGCTAAAAAGGACCAGGAAAGAAACACAAGTTGTCAACAAACCACCAGCTTAGCCAAACTTTTTTTGGTAGAGAAAATCAAAGCTTAGAACAAATGATAACCCATACCTGACTTCCTGGTTCAGCTTCGATCGATGGTAGCTGCGGTTGTGTGTGCAGAGAGTTCTTATGCAGTAAGGCGTTGGAGATATTTCTGTAATACTCACACTTCCGTTTTCACCTCCAAACAAAGTAGCTCATTGGTTGATTGATTGATTGGTTCTCGGGTTGCCCTTGGTTGTCTTTTTTGTCTTTATTGTCCTGTTCACATTCTTTAAGTTTTAATTTTAACCTGTCGTGTTGGGGTCAAATCAGACCAATTTACCACCAATCATAAATAATGTGTTTAACATTTGATTGCTTCAATGCTTTATGATATCCTCCACAGAAAGCATTTGAACAAATAACATTGCTGATCACCTCTTTCTCTGAATTTGGAGTAGTCAACTTTCACTGCAGTTCTTCATGTAAACCGTTAGTCTGAGACATTGTGTACAGCTTAAAAGGGTGTTAAAAATAATCTGGTGGTTTTTGTGTTAATGTAAGAGCAGTTAAAACAGACAGGTCCAATTTGACCAGGAACAACAAAGTAACGGGGAGACATAAACACAACGGGAGGATTAAGCATGCTTCTGTGATCCCAGATCTAAGCAATGATTTTTGATGTGTACAATGTTATTATAAATTAAAGAAATGATGGCCAAACCTATACAAATACATCCAAGCATCAATCAAATTAGAATAATCTTTTAACACAACTCAAGCCAAGTCTCACAAGTCCTAAATCATAAACATTGAGTTTTGAGTCCTAAACAACTCATAAGTTACCCTTCACACCAAACGACTGCCATTTTAAACCCACATGTTGCTCATAAACATAACCATTAAGCTTCTTATAATAACCTTCAAACACTGATTTTAAACATGCAATCGAAAACCTTACCCAGAACAACACCATATGTAGGACGAATGTGATAAGACAGTCACAGTGATTTGACAAGAATATACTAAAAGTGTTTAGGATTGACATAGAGTTTATTATGAACATGTACCATAGGTGGTGGTGTGGGAGGTAGCCACCGGCTCCAGCAGTCCAGAGAGCCACAGATGCTCCACTGTTTGTGTGTTGACTCTGTAATTTGTTTGCTCTAATTTGTTTTGCAGTGCCAGGGGAGTTCCGGTTTTAATTTGGCTCTGTGTGTGTTTACCCCTCTTTGTGGATCGCTGATCTGTTAAGCATAGAGAGAGGCAGAGAGACAGTCAGAGTGGAGGGTGGGTTGTTCACAGAGCCAAATTAAAGTGCAGATTGTTTTAAGCTCTGGCAGCCCCTTCAGGCCCAAAGGCCTCGCTCGCAGCCTGCACCTGCTCCGTCCCCCGGGAGCATGGTTCCTGATCCGTGGCCCTCGCTTCTCCTCCCCGGGCCCCCTAGCCCAACCGCCTCCTCCTCTCCTCTCCTCTAACTCCTATTTTCCTTGTTTGCTTTATCTCCTCCCCATCGACATCTCTCCTTCCCTTCTGCTGCATCCTTTCTCCTCACGTCTCCCCTCCAAAGACTCATGGTGCTCCTTCTCTCCTCCCTGATGACTTCCCTCACTCCTCAGCTCTGGCCTCTTCACCCCTTCTCTCCTCTCCACCAGCTGCTCCTCCTCTTCATCCCTCCTTCTCCTCTTGCTCTTGTTTTGCCTCTTTGCCCTGGCTCAACTTCCTCCTATCCTTCCTTCATTTATTCTCCTGTAACTTTTCTTCATGCTGCTCCTCTCTCCTCCTGTTGTCTCGCCTCCAGCAGCTGGCAGAGTCTTAATCAGCAACCCTCCGCATCTCGATGATTGCAACGTGTTAGCCTGATTGAGAACACACACCAACACACACATAAGACACAGTATAACACGATCTGTGGGCTATCATGATTATTAAACTACAGTGCAGAGCTCAATAAAGCGGCGTCAAAGCTGACATCAACACATTTTATTAACCCGAGACACATAATAAGAATGCAAATTAAACTCTTGTTTAAAATTGCCACAGCTATTCTTTATTGAAATCCCCCAGTCGCTCCGCCCTTTATGACTGCACAGCCATAGGTAGTTTGATCAGTCAGTCAGCTCTACACACAGTATGGTACACTTTGTCACACATACAATATGTACATTACCCCAGCAGTAATGCTATGACATGTTCCAATAACAAGACAGTTACTTTTAATATGGCTTGATTAAAGTGGTCAAACTGTATATGATGACCCAACTAGATGAGGCGAGTGAAAATCGCACAGTCCGGAGGGGGTGGGTCGACCCAATGGAAGAAGGTTGTCTCAGGAATCTAAGTATCAAACTCTGGCCTTCTACCACTAACTCACCTATCTATATACCAGACTTTTAATTAGCAGTTCACCCAAACTGCTAAAAGCTATCCCAAGTGGTATGTAGCCATGCAGTCTTATTTTTGAAATTCACATGAAGAACTTGTTAGCAAACAGTTACATCTAGCAGACACAGAGCAACATTAGCATTAATTTGAATGCGTGTTACTTGCCACCTGATGATATTGTATTATCTATATACTTCTATTTTTTTGCTATTGCTTTTTGCCCTCCACCGGCTCCTGTCTCCCTTTTTTGCAGATAAATGATCCATTATGCTCACTAACTAGTCATCAGTAATGTAGGAAGTATTCAGATTTTATTAGTTTTTGTACAAAACCACACAGAAATACTTCACTCAAAGTAAAAGTCCTCCATTGAGACTGTTACTTAAGAGGGCCCTATTATTCTCATTTTCAGGTTCCTATGTTGACGTGTTTCCATGCTTTAATGTTCAAAAAGGTATTTTCATCCTCGGTCTGAAACCAGAGCCCAGTCTGCTCTGATCGGTTAGCTGACCGACTCAGTTGGGATTGGTCAACCGCTAAGAGATGTCCCGCCCCTAGGCAAATCACATGAAAAAAGCGGCGAGAGGGGGGCGTGTGTGGGGGAGATACTCCCTCTGAACTTTGAAAGTTTAGCCTTTGCAGACTATTTACTTGCACACAAACCTATATACCACACACCAGGAAGGGAACGCCCGCAAAAGCATAATAGGGCCTCTTTAATGTTAGTTTTATCTTTATAAAAAAAGAAAGAAATGAAATTGAGAATGAAATCCTCAAATTAGAAGGGCTGCAAGACTAACACAATAAATACAATAGTTATTAATCAACTAAATTGTACAGGGTGCACTTGTAAAAACTGTTGAGGCAGCAATCCTATAGACACATACAGAACATCTTAAATCGTGTAAAAATAAAAACAAAACTATCTGCATGGCATGGATGAAGTAAGGACGTTTTTCTTTATTTGGGTGAACTGACTCTTTCAAACATTAGTTGCATCTACTCTAAATGCACCACATTCTTTTTACAGCAATCATATTGCCATTACGAGCACTTACTTACAAAAGTAAATGCTTCCCGAGACATTTTGGTCCATTAAATACCCAGTTTTGCTCGTTTTTAGACTAGCAATGTTCAGTCGATTTGGTATTCTGACTGTCTCTGCGCAGACTTTATCACCAGACATTCACACACAGTAAATCTCACATACACAATCATGATCCAGACACCCAGCGTCCTGTACTGCTGATATACACATTTCCCATTCAATTGTCTTACACTGTCCTCTGCCTTCCTCCAGATTGCTCCCATTAAAATAAAGTGAAAATACATTTCCACTAGTGCAAAAATAAAGTCTCTCTTTGAGAGCAATAAGAAAACAAAGTTTAACAAAAAATATATATATTTGACACATTGGATCATATAGAAATAATAAAGTGGCACTGATAATAAATTATATGACAAGAAAAAGCTGCTGCAGACTATATCCCCCCATTTCTTTAGTCTGAAAGAACTAAGGCTGATTTGTAAGTATGCATACATATTTAACCTGCAGGCTGACAAGTTATTATGAATGAAACATTAAAGTTTTGGACTATAGGAGGAATTCCTGCTGTGTTATTGGCAGGGTGGAATGACCTTGTTAAACACAGGCTGACTACTGACTCCATCTAGTGGTGAAATATACCAACTACAGCGTTTTGCTGAAATCAAGAAGATTTTAAAATCAATAATCGGATTTCCTCCAACAACAAAGTGCAAGCAAATAATAACTAAATCGGGAGAAATAAGGATAATACCCATTAAATTACAGGCACAAAACTGCTTCTTTTTCATTCTTGTTTCTATTCCATTGGACTACTACTAAGGTTGTGGTTTGATGGAGGTCATGTTTTCTTCCCACATACAGTAGCACAAAGGGAATGACACGAGGATCAATCTACAGCACGGACTCATCTGTGTTTCCTCTCTCGCACACAGATGGTTAACGGCAGCTGTTCCTTTCAGTCACATGATCGATCTCCACCTGTTTCAGTGGGTTTGTGCGTTAGGACACGTGGCGGAGTGGTGATTAGTTGCATCGTTTCATAGCAAGTGAGGTGCCGCCTGTCATGAATACACCGCTCCTTGGTCGACGCCGCACTTTTCACTCGATGAGACATTTCTTCCGTGTTAATCTTTCGCACAAGCTTCTGCATCTTAGGATGAGACAAATAAGGCAAATAGGAACTCCACGGGGACAGTTCTGATGTTACAGGAAGGGGCAAAGCATACAGTATTAGTGTTATGGGGTTCAGTTTGTATGCACTGCATATTAATACCCAGGGAGTCCATCAGGAAGGTTCATTATTTTGAGGTTGAGGAGTCATTTCTTCAGCCGTGAGAGTCTGGCAACATGTCCAGATTTTTAAAACTAACTATGCATCGTCTCCTGGCAGCCAATCACGACCATCCTCAGGTCAAACCTCAAGGTCGGGAATTAACTCCTCCTTAAGCTGAATGTCATTTTCGGATCCCGTGCCCACGTCCGAGTCAAAGAGTGAGTGGTAAGATTTGGGCGAGTGCGTGTGTGAGTGTCCGCCTGAGTGGCTGCTGGCGTCACTGTCGTCAAGAGTGTTAGTCCTGGAGAAGAGGCCAAAGTCCAGCAGGCCTGTAGAAGAGCCACTGCTCTCACTCTCTCCTTCAAAATAAAAATCTTCCACCTCCACAAACCACTCGGGCCAGAACCTCCTCCGCATCCGCTCGCAGAACATGGCCAGGTTGATCAACTCTCCTGTAAAGACAAAAGACACAGCAGGTTTACGAGAACAAGTTTTTACAGATACAGCTAAACCAGCAGGAGGTATCACTGCATGGTGCTTACTGACATTTTGAGTCTGATAAAGAGGAAGACAATACATCTGAGATACTTCCAGAGACATAATTATGTGCTATCATTTTATGATAAGTGCTTTCAGAAAGTATGTATCAAAGCAACAGCGAGGAACCCTCATTTGTGGGATTACAAGCTCTGATTTTGCTCTCGGAAAAGATAAGAGACCCAAATGTTCCCTCATCAGTGCAACAATCAAAGCCTATCAGCATCACTGCATTACAGTATAATATCACTGCCATCTACTGGCTGAACATACAAATACATCTATGACAAACCACTTGCACACTTGAAAATATGCAAGTGACATGTTTATCTTAAAGTCAAGCTTATATACTGCAACACAGGGTAATAGTGAAGCTCAAACTAAAGCAACAGTATCTCCAGTTAATATGCAGAGCACTCCACAGATCCACTGACCTTTGATGAGTTGTTCTGGTCGTGTCCCAGGAAGAGTCCACATAGCCTGGGCTAGATGCCCAAACACTGTAGCATCTAATGTGGACATCTTAGAGCCCATGAAGTATTTTTTATCTCCTGTGGGACAGAGACATTCGAAATGATGGAGCATAATAATTAGTAGTGTTTGAAATAAAAGAAACATTGCTTTAAACTTTTTGGATTCAAAATAAAAAAAATATATAAGCTAAAAGGTGTTTGATTGGAACCAGCCGGTTAAGTAACAAAAAATACATTGTTGATTTTCTAACAATTTAATTTCCTACTACTAGCTCTTGGAGTAGCAGAAGCTAGATCTTTCAACCTTTTATCCATGACTTTGAGCTAACTCAACCATTTATCCTTTTAGCTTGCTATTTCTGTTTATCCATTTCTTTTTGGTATTTATATCAATGGTATGCATTACTGTTTAGCTTATCATTTCAACAGTTTATCCATTACTTTTTCGCTAGTCGTTTATGTTCTGTTTCTGATCTTTAGCTAGCTAGCAACTGTTGCTCAAGCATTATTTTTAGCTAGCTAACCAGCTTGTTCATCCATTTATTTTAGGTACATATTTCAGTAGGTTACATTATACATGTTTGCTAATTATTTAAAAAGATGATTCTCCCTTAGCTAACTATTAATCCTATCCATTACTTTTAGCTTGCTATTTTAACCTTTCTTCTAGCAAGCTAACTTAAATTAGCTAGGGTGTTACAACACAGTAGGTTAGTGGTAAGCATAAACATTTAAGAAGGTTTTATCTTCATAGTAGTTCCTTCCTAAACAACAATATGCGGATTGTTCATTAAAATATAGCCTACTGTATAGAACTTCCTTTCTTTATATTAGTTGAGCTGCTTAACAATAGTTCTAAGTATACAAATGTAAAAAGAGAGATATAATTAGGCTAACCCTGGTTCGGCATCACCTTCCAAGAATTAAAAAAAAACTGAAATATATCATAGATTTTGTTAAAATAAACGTGTAAAGAATGTTAACAATACAGAGACAGAACAGTATTTCCAGTAATAGCCTACATATTTGATATTAAGTTTGTGTGGCCTTAGATACGGTTTATGCTAAATCTATTAGCTTCTCCTTCCCTGTTCGTTCAGCGAATACACACTTTAAAATAAACAAATTTCATCATGAAACTGGAAGAGCTACACTTTTGGCAGCAGCAAAACATTTTATACTCACACTCATGAGTCAGGAAAGCAAAACAGAAGCTAAGTGTACTGATGCTTTCACAGAATAACAAGTGGTCTTCTGTTGAAATGGTACAAACAGATCAATGTAAATCACTTTTCTTTCAAGCATCTGGCTCTTTGTTTCCATCTGAGCACTGATATCTTATCCCTGTGGCTGACATCCAGAACTTTCCTGTTTTCATTTATCTCTGCTATACCTCACTAAGTAGTCTACAAACACAGGGAAAGACAGAGATGTTCTGTTTAGATAAAGTGAAAATGATATCGGTATTTTGTCTACAAGGAAAGTAAATGCATTATTTCCAGGACATACAGCTCTGTAAAAAATTAAGTTTCTTAAAACTCAATTTCTACATGTATGGCAGCCATTCACTAAGGCTTACAGTATCTGTTTAATTCCAACACAGATAAATGTAGTCAGTAGTTTACCCAAACACATACCTATAAAAAGTAAAACCAGAGAAACTGATCATTTTGCAGTGGTCTCTTCTTCCATAGCTGTATATGCTATTTAGTTATTCACATTATAAAATGTGCCTTTTCATTGTATAATATTTCATTGTGCATATATATTTTAAATAACTTGTGAGGGTCCATGAATCATCAATACTAATTCTGCATTAGGCCACATTAGACTTCGATAATGATCCGACAATTTTCCTTTGGTCATTATGACTTGGCAATGCAGTAATACATTAGCTCGATATAGATGTCTACTTTACATACAACTTCCTGTGACTAAATTAGCTTTCCGCTGTCACTTTTATTTAATTCTGATTACCTGAATGTAACATAACAATCACATAACAACTGTTCTGGAAAGGTTGACAAATGTCACAACAACTATCCAATGGACTGAGTTTCTGAATACATATGACCATCCAGTCCTATTATAAAGAGAACTGTACCAACGGCTACAGATGTGTACTGTACTATCATTCTGTTATCCCGGATTAAAAAAAAACAGCCGCTCTTTTATCAAATTACATAACAGAGTTGAGGTAATCCCTTCTCATACAGTTGATGGCGTAAGGGGTAAAAGCCATAGAGAATGCTAATCAAAACACACGGTCCTCTTCCTACCTAACAGTGTGGCCAGCGTCCTCATGTCCTTCTCCATCAGTGTGTAGACCTCCTCCTTAGAGAAGCGTCCAATGCCATGGCCGTACATCTCCCTGCGCACCATGCTGCCGTTCATGTGGCTCAGCAGCCACTTCAGGGTGTCGCTCAGGGGGCCGGTCATCGACAGAAGCTTCTGCGTTTCATCTACGTTGTCCACCCACTGACAGTAGGCTATCGTCCTGACAGAACACAAAGCACAAAACATGGTGTTTACATAACATTGTGAACGGTGTCAGAAAATGGATGAGTCTAGCATCAAACTTCTTTATATCACAGATCATATAAAACATATAAAACCACCACAGAAATATTTTAAAACAAGAATCTTTTTTTTTTATGGAGATGTGATATGGATGTAGAGAGCAATCCGTCCAACATTATTTGTAATAAAGTGGATGAGTTGCTATGTGATTCCTTTCCTCAATTATGCAAAAGAGGAAATTCCATTCTTTACGCCAAAAACGTCCTAATAAATTGTGGCTCGGAAAAAAAGGAAGTGACGTATTTAGAGGTTTATCCCATGCCCTACAACCAACAAAGCTTTATGTCTATAGACAATAACCTCGTCCTAATCAATAAAGTACACTACCACTTCCCGCTTATCAGCTATATTGCTTACAGGAAGACAGCATCATATATCCAGCCCTTTAAACTGTCAGGCTGCATGTAAGAGAGGAAACGGTGACTGTGAAAGCATCCCAGGAACTCCGTTACAGATTTGACCTGGAAAAACTCAAGCTGCATTGCTTTGTTGAGTCAGTCAGTGTCTGTTTTGCTTGTGTTCAAATAAAAAAATAGGAAACAGAAGGAAGAGATTTGTCTCGCAGCAGCCGACAGACAGATCCAGTCTCTGTGTGCAAACAAGCCCAACTCAAATCCTTAAAATCCCTCTTTAGCTCTGCTTTTCATCAACCACTTCGTTTCATTTGTGACCATTGAAAATGTAAAAAAAGGAAACCTAGGAGACAGTTGTTTTATCTTAATTATACACATAAGCCTGTGATGTGTATTCACCTACTTTAGTAAGGAAAATATATGTTTATAGTTTCTGCATTACTTTTGCACCATTCTCTTGCACTATTGTTATGTCTTTAAGTAGATTGTATTTATTGTTGGAGGAGCCTGAGACTTACTTACTACCTTTCCTGTAGTCCACCTTAGTTTTGTTATAAAGGTTTTTTCTTTGCATGTAAATGGTCCAAAAAAGGCTAAAATCCCTCCAGGGGGAGTTTCTCTCCCAAACACTCCACACCCCTGCCCGAATTGGACTCCTTTGTTTAGTTCTGTAACATAGTGACATCACTATGTAACACTTGTGCTTCTATTGGCTAGCACTCCAACACATTGGGTGTTTCTCAATGTCGAGGACGCTTGCTTGGTAGCACATGTCTTCCGAGTCACTTGCTTCAGAAGCGCGAGGCAAGAATACTTCCTAGCGTCGGAAAACGAAGAATTGTGGAACAGGCTAACAGGTGTGCAGGTGTGCATCATATGCGAGGCCCCGCCTTAAATGGAGCGCAATTTCCACCAAAGATTTGGAAATTGGTCCGTGCGCAAAGCATTGTGGGGATTTTAAGACCGCAGAGTCTACAAATGTGCAGCCTTCTGTATTTTGCTTCAGCAGCAAATAAAGACCTTTTTGAACATTAAAGCATGGAAACATGTCAAAGTAAAGAAACACAATACAAATATGAAACCTGGAAATAAGCATAACAGGGCCCCTTTAAGATTTTCATTGCCAAAACTACGCTGTAACAAATCATTTGAATGTTGAATCTACTGATAGTGCAAGTGTCTCTGATGTGTGGTACACATGTGTTGTTTTTCCGGCCGAGCTGCCTGTGCGTGTAGACACTAATAAGATTAAGATGCTATATCCTTACACACTCTCTCCCGTTACTTCGTAGGAAATACAGACGGATCTTCTCTCACAGATCGTCTGTCCGCCTGGAAGCTTTATGTTGTAATTCTGCCGGCAGTGACTGACCCCTGCGCCATGATGCGACTGCATAGCAGCGTCTGCCTCTGGCCTGCACTCTTCTCCATCACTCTGGTAGGCAAGGCGCTCAATGCAAATTGAATTTAAGCATCTGACCTACATTACATCTGGGAGTGGTGACCGTCCATGGGCCATACATTACTTCCTGTTACATTATCTGATCTGTTGTCCCAAGAGGATATACAGTCCTTTGTTTCATGATTAGAAAAAAGCCCTTCTTAGCAGATTTAAATATATAATTAAGATGAGGTCAGTCATTTTTGAGGGGGTAGACAATGGAAGCATGAAATCATTGTTTTGGCCTTTCTGCACTTTTCATTTCCAGTCAGTCTGTGTTTCCCACTTAAGGTTGTGACTCACAAGTTGATGATAAAGAGCATTAGTAGTATTCTTAATGTTATAACAATTTTTTCTCAAAGTCATAAGCTGATTTTAAAGACAAGATGAATCATTTCACTGACTCATCATAAGTGCATTGCAGTCTTGCATTTTTTAGTGTTCAAATAATAAAAGTCTTGAAGAAAGCTAATTTATTGAATTGTTGGGGATAGAAATGGTCCTATTTAATCCTCTGTTGAATTACATGGCCATTTTGGCTACTGTGATAGTTGAAGCTGTAAAACTAGTACCTCATAATGTTGTAGATGAACATGTTAGCTAACATTTGTTTATTTAAACATCCGGCAGAAACAACATGAAAATAAGCTGTATTTTTGAAACATTTCTACCAATTTAAAGCCCCACCAGAATTCATTGACAAAAAACAGTGATTTTACCTAGCAGAGCCCAGAAGCTGCTGGTCTCACGCTGCCTCAAACAGAACATTTGTTTGTGTTATTGTGTGACTTCTGTATTTTCACACAATAACACAAACAAACAAACTGATCGAGACAGGGGTAGACCAGCAGCTCCTTTGTTTTGTGAAGTAAAATGACTGTTTTTGTCAATGGAGTCTGGTGCCGTTGAAAAGAGCATAGATAATATCTCGAAAAGGGCTGTCTGACGGGGGTTAAGTGGTGAAAATATTCTAAAAATAGCATACATTTAAACTGATATTGACTTTTTTTAGGCAGAATTTTTGCTGCTGATACCTCATATAACCCCACTTCAAAAAAATCCATACCACCCTTTAGACAGCAAAGGTGGACAGAGTAGAAAGCACAGAGGCTGCTTGTTCTTCAGTTTCCTGTTATCTTGTTTTTATAGCAGCATCGATCAGAAGTGCAGGAGGAAAACAGAGTGTGTACTGTATGACCTAACACTCGGTTAGTGCCTCTGGCCAGAAGCTAGCCCTTCAGAGAGCAACCAAGCTGCCAGATTGCCCTTTCCTGACATAAATAATTCAATCAATGGGTCTATAAGTGGGTCTAAACATGGGCACACAGGGTGGGTGGAGGAGCAGAGAAAAGAACGAGGAGGTGACACAGAGAGGGAGGATGTATGCATGACCTCTAAAGCTTGGGAGAAAGAAATCATTGTTTACATCACGCAAACGTTGCAATTTCACATCTATAGGCTATTTTACACATTAATGTCACAACCTCAATTCACACCCTTTCCTTACAGTTTACCGCAATATGAAACAGAGGCGAGTGGAACACATGACACCGGATAAAACCGTGAAGATCAGTGAGACTGTGTGTGTGTGTGTGTGTGTGTGTGTGTGTGTGTGTGTGTGTGTGTGTGTGTGTGTGTGTGTGTGTGTGTGTGTAAGATGGATGGAGCTTTTAGGCAATGGAAAACAGAGCCTGTGTGGGGAAGGAGGGGTGGTGAATGATTTCCTAGCAGCAGCTTCTCACCCAGAGGCTCAGGAGTGACTCACCACGGCAGGCATGGCTGCACACTGCTGATGTTGAGGGTAGAGACAGCTTGGTCTCGTTATATGCAGTCTGAAGAGCTCCAGTCATTAGGTTTGGTCACACCATGTCGATGAGTATTTTCATATTTAAAACTAATGTTTTTTAACATACTTATGTGTTCCTTATTTTTTTATATATTAATTTAGTTGTGTGTTCTTTATTTTTATTTTCCTATTCATTATTTTTTTTTTTTGCTCTTTTGTTTGCCAAACATAACATTGTTTTATTAGGGTTTGCCTCTGTAAAATTGAACACCAACAATTAAAATAATTATTCAAATGAATATATATATAAAAATAAATATTTTATATTTATTTCAAAAAATAATTGTAATTAAATTAAAAGCCAAACAATTATTTAAATCAATATTCCATTGTTCTTTTTCAGTGAGATCTGTGTGGGTGGTTCCTGATACTGCTTAACATTGGGCTTGAGTGTTAAAATATGCATTTGATAACTAATATGTAAATATAAATATACAAGTTCAATTCAGCCAATACATTAGTTGTGCCTTTAAGTAAAACTGTTTGCATAAAATTACCGAAATGTCCCCGTATTCCGAATGAGATGTCCCCTTTGAATCATATTTTATGAAACGTTTCCAAACACCCAGTTTTAACTTGTCCATAATTACATAGTCCCCTACCAGTAAAGGTGATCCTCCACCATGGTGGTGATGGCTCGGGACACGGCTCTCTCCTCAGGGGTGAGGTTTACGTTGAGGTTAACTCCCAGCATCTCCTCCAGGAAGTCCACGATGAACTCTGAGCCTGACGCCTGCTGGTGGTTGTACTCGATCCACGGCATCTTACCCTGAGGCGACAGCTTCCCATCAAAGTAGTTCTGCAGAGAGACACAGATTCAGCTTAGAATATCAAAGATTTGACAATCTGGACACAATTAGCTCGTTATTTATGGAAGCCATGAGAGACCAAAGAAAACTTGAAAACGGCCAAAAGAGTATTACAATAACAAATGATTATCGTGGGGGAAAGGGTTATGGAGAAAAGTCGTTTGATTAGTTGGCGATCTCTGGGAAATGTCTCCCCCTTTTATAATGTATTCTGCTGAGCCTCACCTGGTAGGGCAGGTCCACCATGCGCAGGTATGTCTCCAGTTTGAGGCAGAAGGGTGAGAGGCTGGGCACGCCGTTCTTTGGCCTGGAGAACTGATGGAGGATGATGGCATCTTTAGAGTCCAACTCCTGCTCTTTCCTACAGAAGAAGAAAACAATACATTTCGTATATACACAGTCTATTTAAGATGATGTTCTCAGTTCAGATTGCAATGCCCACTGCATAAGAAGACTTCATATAATTTGTTCTTGTAACCTCCGACATGAAGGTCATTTATCCAGGTCTGTCGAAAGCATGATTGTTGAAATACTGAAAATACTGGCCCGATTTACATGAAACTAAATCGAAGGGTGAAGCACGGGCAAAAGAACAACTTATAATATTTTGGAGAGAATCCAATTCATGAGGAGGAAACATGAACTTGGAAGTGAACATTGTGAGATAGGACCTTTGTACTGCACTCGTGAGGTGTTGGAATAGTTGTGAAAATGTGTTTCCAAGTGGGAAATCAAGTAAGCCAAACTTTTGCTACACATTTCATGGCTCCTTGTTGTCCCAAAAATACTGGAGAAACGTAATAATAGCCCTACGACGCATCGTCTTTGAAGTGTCCATGCTGTTCTCACTTTCAACCCAAAGCTCTTGACCACAACACGACAGAAGAACGGCTTCCCAGCTCAGGAAATGGGACCATCCAAAGACCATGTGAATGCCTCAGTCTAATTAATTTAACATAAAGTGAAAAACCATGTTGTCAAACCAATCAGGCAATCATATTCGCTGTTGAGGAAGGATTTGATTGACAGCAAGCAGAATTCACAGAAAGCTGTGTTTGATGCTCTGATGGATTTCCCCCTCTTGTTCTGTTGTGTTTCCTGCTTTCATTGATTGTTCTTTGCAGGAAAAGGCTGATGCTCCAGGGAGGAATACACTATCTGTTTGATATTGTAAACCCTGCTGCTGACTATGTGTAAACACCCAGAGGAACATGAGGAGTGATACAAACTTAAAAGCCAGTGAAAGTACCCTTTGATTCAAATGCTAACTTCTCAGAGCTGTCACTTTTGGATTAGATTACACTGAAATGAACTGTAGTGTATTTGTTCTGAGTACAGGTACCAATGAAATACAGTTTGCAACTTACCAGCAGTGCGTATAGGGAGGAGAGGAGGAGAGGGTCACCTCTGTAGTTAATTATAGCGTGACGACACAGCAGTACTTCCCAGAGTCCCTGAGCAACCACCCGGCAACACCTTTCTTTATTTTCAGAGACTGCAGAGGCTTAACTTCATTCACTTTCAAACAGTAGCTTTGAGCAGCAGACCTACATTGTGTTGTCCTGGAGGAACATATATCAAATCAATCCAAAATGCTCAGCCATTAGGATTTCAGCCAATGCTGCACATGTATCCCTCATATTGTCATCTAAATGGTTACATGCTTATATTAACGTAACCAGAAATTAAAGATATTATATTAACAAAAGTTGAGCTCCAAAGATTCACCAGTTAGTTGTTGAATTGAATGTTGCAGATTAATTAAATGAATCTCCTACTATATTGATAACCTATTGATCGTGTGAGTTATTATTTCAGAAAATAAAGTCCACATTCTCTTAATCCAGCTCCTTAAATGCAAATATTCTGATTTCTGTACTCCTTTATGACAATAAGCTAAATATAATTGAGTTGTTGACAAAATATGACATTGTTGTCAACAACTCAACCCACTTGTTGGGTTTTGGGAAACATTTGAACAATTTTCTGATATTGTATAGATCCCTCATGCCTGCTGTTTGAACACAAACCATAATAAACTCTTCTACTGATGTTCTTTGTTTCTCTCTGGCTGTGTTCCCTGTGTTCCCTGGAGAGACTGTGCCACAATGCACGTGGTTGTCACTGTATCCCTGTACTATTATCACCCAGCCAAAAATACATTTGGTAGGTGATGTTTGATCAAAAGGAAATTGTTTGTTTGCTATGAAAAAAAGATGATTTGATCAAAGATGAACAACTACACTGATCACGAACACGTTTTCCCTTTTCCTGTTTGTTGCATTTCATGTTTGTGTGTTGGAATTACCATCAAGAGACATAAAAAGTGCCTGAGCACAACATGGACACTTTATGTATGTATCTATTGCCAATACATTAACACTTAAATATGACCCGCCAAAGCTTTGTAAGCAGTTGAACATCATGAGGGGGAAAAAAAGATGATATATATATCATTTCCACCGTGTGGCTTCCTGTTCCTCTCCAGATGTTATGCAGCACAGAGGAAAGGGTAAAAGGAGACTTTACATCCAGGCATTAGCATTATTGTGCAGGCAGACAGAGCATGTCCGGTCTGTTTAGCATAGCTTTTATCACTGGCCAATGCTCTTCTTTGTGGGAATTATTTTCTTATAACTGTATAAAATAACTTCAATCTTTTATGGGATTTTATTGTATGAAAAATGCAGTCAGTTGCCAGCTTAAAGGTGGGGTATGTAATTTATTTCAGATACACTTTTTGTTATATTCCATGGAATGCTCTTAACATCCCGATAGCAATGAATATCTTAAGTGCTTTGACAATAAATACATTAAAATATCAATCTGTG